TTTAAACTACTATTTATTGTTCATTTTTTAGTTCTATTTATCAATTATTTTTTTGTGGACATGTCATGATATTGCATTAATATTAATCAAACTTCTGGAAATTGGTGAAAATGATGCTCAAAGATAGCGTTACATACGTACAAACACAGATACATACATACATACATACAGGTCAAGCTAATAAAAGCGTGCTAAAAAAAATAAAAAAAAGGTATACCACAATCTTCCTCCTGTGAGGCTTGAACTCACGACCCCTGGTTTACAAGACCAGTGCTCTGCCACTGGAACTACAGAGGCTTGTAATTTCAATATTCGTAAAGCGGCATATAGAATTCGTGGCTTTTTATTAACAAATCTGCTTTTTACAGAATTTTTCTCATAAAAATAATGGGAAACTGCTATCAAATTATTGCATTGTCAGGGGTCCTTGATACGTGTGCGAAGTTTCAAATTCATCAAACTTCTGTAAATTGGTGAAAATTATGCTCAAAGATTCCATGGCATACATACATACAGGCCAAGCTAATATAAGCGTGTTAAAAGTTAAGGTTCTGGCATAATTGAGTCCATAGGTACGTACTTTAAATGCGTCTGATGAAACACTATAAAATTCTTAACAAATTTGATGAAGTATAAAGTTAAATGGTCACATAGGATTCTTTCTGTCTCCAGCAGTGGACATCTTCTTACACCTATGTCTATTAATTTATACATGTCGTTTGGATGAGTATGATAATTTTTTCCCAGTGTCTCATTCAAACTCTCGCATGACTAGAATATTTTAACATAAATCTGTGAGAAAGAATACATAAACTACCCTACCTGAGGCGTGATCTCGCCAAACAGTACGATCGCCAACGTGGAACCAATGACCGCGAATAAACCTGACGTAAGTCCATCCAATAAGATGGTAAATATGGAGTTCACCAATACGTTACCCAGCAAGATGGAGCAAAGAAGGTAGTTACCGTGTGCTCTCACTGGTTGGATCGTCTGAAACAAAAAATATCACAATAGGCTACTTGACTCATATCTAATTTAATAGAATAAATAATAGAATAAACGTTGAAAACACTATCGGTCATGATGTGACGTCATACAAATTGTAAACAAAGAAACGTCATCCGTATGTCACTCGTGGACCAACGTTGTATTTTTCAAGTATTTCTGAAAAACTCCAAATCAACGTAAAAAGTTATCGTTTTATTGAGAAAAGAATCATGGACGTTGGATTCATAAAAGCAGAATGCACAAATTTGCCGAAAATCGACACAGTGATGGTTGGTAATTTTTTTGCCTTCAACCCAGATTTCCGCTCTACGGAACTGAGGAACTTCAAGACACTGTAAGTACAGTGCATCTGATATAATGATAGACATAAAAAGAAAGGATAAGAAGTAACACACTAAAATACAGGTACTATAGGCTATGATGTGACGTCATATAAATTGTAATCAAAGAAACGTGATCCGCCTATCACTGCTGGACTATCGTTGTCTTCTGTAACTGTTTCTAAAAAAATAATAATCAACGTAAAATTTATCGCTGTCTCGTTTAATTGAAAAAACTTACACGTTGCATATGTCATCGATTTGTTTTTAGATTCTCGATACAATAACGATAATTGGTATATTTTTCAAGTAAACTAGTAGGAAGTTATGCTTATATATTTAAAACTTTGAGAGGTTATGCTCTTATATAAGAAAAATATATATAGTAGTAGTAGTAGTAGTAATCCAATTGCTATTGCGTAAATTATTCCCAAAGTTCCAAAAGCTTCTTTTTCCCCTCTTTCTTGTCTAATAATATGGAAGATTATTCCAGGTAGGATTAAAATAAAAACTTCAGGTTTGCCAAGAAATCAAAATAAATGTTGGTAGGGAATAGGGTCTCCCCCGCCCGCTGGATCAAAAAAAGATGTATTTAAATATCGATCTGTAAGAAGTATTGTAATTGCTCGTGGTGCTTTAGGGTTTTGGGTATTATTATTAACAAATATTAAATATTTAAGACCTACTAAAGTGCCAACTAGTCTATTATCAAAACACAAAAATAGATTAAAGTGGATTAATATTCGATACACTCCTAAGGTATTCTCAAAAATAAAAAGTAAATATTGGTCAATTAGTCAAGTAGATTTCGTCAGATGGTGCCTTTTCTGTCATGTTTGTCATTCAAATGCCGACTAACAGATTAATATGGAATTCATATTTTTGCTTAATTTTAAAACAATAGGTTAAATTTAAATATACATACTCAATGTAATGTTTGCTATATTATTTCATAATTTCAAGCGGTCGGATTTAAATATTGTAATAGATTTTAAGCAAAATATGCTTATCAACGAAGTTTTTGTTTTTTTAACAACGTATGGTTTTAAAAGCAGCACATAGCCCAATTGTATAAAATCATTTATCCGGTGTTTTCCGTGATTATATTCTATTTTGTTCTATGAAGGTTTTGAAAAAAGGACACTATCAAGAAACACATATAAAACTTTTGGTCTACAAAAACTTCTCCAGGTTCCAGATCTCCCTTTCCCCTGTATCCCCCTATAGCCCCACGGTACCCCATGGGTGTTTCGGCCTTAGGTCTTCGTGATAGTTGGGAGTATGAAAAATAAAGTTTGATAGAATGCAAGGTCCTGCCCGTCACAGACCGCTGAACTCTTTCAAATACTCCGGGGTCGTTTCTTATTGAATTCCCACTTATCGGTTTCTTACAGCGGGTTCTGGATTTTCCTTTCTCCTCATAGATAACTACTGTGAATTCAAAACCTTAGGAATAATTACGAGAAGGGGGGGGTTGAGGAATGGAAGGAATTGAAAGGTTGATATCATGTTTAATTCTCCAATGCCCATAACTCGGCAAATATTTATTTGGATAATTTTTATATTATAGGTTCTAATGAGGTTAATTTGCTAAATTAATTATAATGATTACTTTTTATTCCCACACATATGCTACTTAATGGTAAGCCAGAAATACACGAGCGAATTCCTGAACCAAATTTAATTAGAAAAGTTCATATAAGCATGTGTCCTAAAAACTCTGCTTTTCAAGATACAGGGTGTTAAAATTTAAAAAAAAAACGGTATTTTATTAACACCTCACAGATCCTTGTGTCGATTATGTTGAACTTCAATAAGACGTGAAGTGTTAGCACTAACTAAAGCAGGAATGCTATTGACAAAAACATGTACACCGCAGACTTTTTTTAAAAATATAATATATATGTATGTATGTATGTACATATATGTAGATTCTGATGGATCGGTCCTCCACTCATGGGCTTTTTAGAGTCGATAGGTCCTCCGCTCTGATAGGTCCTCCGTATAAGGAGGACCTATCGCAAATTCCACCTATCGGCCCCTCAGGCCCCCCTCTGTCACCTGGCAAAATTTCAGAGGGATGACCTAGATCATGTTTTTCGCCGAATTTGGGTACCGTAGTTCAGGGTTTTGCCGCGCCGATTTGGTGGACTCACGATCGCTTGGGTATTCAGCCCGTATATTATCAAATATTACCAGTCAGGTCTACAGTGGATCGGTCATCTGCCGGGTATTCAGTATCCAGATTATCGCTTTTAGATCCTCCTTAATATTGGCATCGCTGTATTAGGTATTTTATTATATTTGCTGTGTTAGAGGATCGGCTTTTCACCTTTCTATGTCTGGTGCGGCCCAGTTCGCCGTCAGGCATTATAATAGGGGCGTCCGTGACCGAGAGTACCGTAATGCAGCAATAATATATTTGTTCGATTACTATCATTATTAATATAATTATGATTACGATTATGGTTGTGATTATGATTATGATTACGATTATTATTACTAGTTTTCGGAAAAAAATGTTTTTCCAATCAGGTTTTAGACTCATAACAAGTCGATTTGACATAAGTCACCTCTATGCAAAAGTGCTTCGTTTATTTGCCAACTAGATTTTTACGCTTGATGTGTTAAAACATTTTTTTAGAAACCAGCCCCAAAAAAGGTTTTTTTTTCTCGAAAACTATGAAAGATATCTCGTTTTAATGAGAGACAAAGGATGGAATAAATAAAAAAATCGGTCATGAGGAAAGTTGGGAAAAATTCTGCTACAATTTATGTAGGTGTGGGGGTAGTTTTCACCCTTCCAAAAAGCTCTGGAGTTTTTCGTAAAAGGCAAATATTAGAACGCTGAGCAGAGCATATGTGTTCCAAATTTCATTAAAATCGACCTACCGGCTTTTGAAATATCTTGGAAAACGTGTTTTTAAAAGAAAACTTTGATGCCCCCTAACGAAGCACCTTCGAATACAGATAACTTATGTGCAATCGACTTGTTCTCAGTCTGAAAATAACTAGTAATCTCACGTCCATGGAATATTGGGTCACGATGTGTACAATACATGATTATATGAACAAAGAGCAAAGTTTAGCGTAAAGCTACTCAAGCTAAATTAAAAAGGGTAATATAGATAGACCATTATGCAAATACAACCACATGAATAGAAAATCAAGGATGGTGTAGTATTAAGGAAAAATGTTCACAAAAAAACACTCTCAAATATGATAAAGGTGATGCTCAAATCCAATTTCCTATAGAATAAAATAAAAACAAATATGCTAATCCTAGTTTTACAATTTAAAAAATATGCTTTTACTTACCGCGCCTATTGGCAGGGAATTAATGTAATCACAAAAAATTCGCTTTAGCTGCAGTGGTTGCAGAGTGGTCAACAAACGAAGAGAAAATTGCATAAACTTCGCTTTCGGACAATGACCTACATTTTTCAACATTTTGTGCTTTGACAACCACGCGGTTATAGGAGCGAAGGATAAACGCAAATAATATCGGAATGAATTTTATTTACGAAAATACATAAGAAGAAAACTGAATTTATACATTGACAAAATGAAACTACTAAAAAATGCTTATACTTAGTTTGTGATACATATGTTCATACTTAATTTCTACTTTATTAAAAAAACGGGTTCGCTCATAAATTGAGATGGTATTCATTTTTTCTTTCGGTACTGGTTCTGGATGAAAACTTTGATTTTTAGCCAGTCCTTATTATGTAATAATTCAGTATGACTTGCGATGAGGTTATCGCATTCAGCCTTTTTTGGGGCCCTCTTAGATTTAATGTGATTTCCAAAGTGAACCAAGACTAAATTTTTCTGATCTTCAGTCCAAGGAACTAGAACCCTGGACTTTTTCTTTGGTAACGTTATATCCACTTGCTGAGATTCCGGATCTGGATGCGGTTCTTGGATATCTTCATATTGGCATAGAGGCTCTGGGTGGTTATCATCCTGCTGCGCTTCTGATATCAAATTCTCGTCTAGATTCAAATTAATTTCGTCCAGGGATTTTCCTTTGAAATGACCTGCCTCGCCCTTCTCCATCAACGTCAAAATCTTGGAGAGTCTAGCCGTTTGGTAGACGTCATCTGGTAATCGGTATGATGCACGGTGGATACCTAGTGTATGTCCCATAAAAGATGCGAGTTGTTCCATGTCATTTTCTGACATGTTGAACAATTGAGTCAAGGTTGCCAAGTGCTTTCTCAGACGGGTGCTAGTCAGAGCATGCGGATTTTTCGCTTGACATAACGACGCATACTTTTTGATTACCTTGTAACCAATAATGGGTTCTTGGGAGTTAGGTTTACCGAAAAGATATATGTTCGACACCGTCTGAATATTATCTCTACACTCTAGTATTAGATTCAAGTGATCCTGTACATCCTTGCTTATAAGAACTGGAACACCTCTGCCTCTTTTTCCACGGATTACTATTCGTTTGAAAGATCTCATTAGAATTCTCTCGGTTTCTGTTATTGCTTCTGAAAACTCCTCATAGGCTTGATTGTGTTCCTCAGATATAGCGGATTTGTAAACATGTATGGGAAGTCGTTGTAGTTCTCCAGGCCGCCTCCTATTTAATAAAAGCAACCTACAATAAACTGTCTCGAGTAAAGACGTGTATGCTTTTTCATTGCTTGGATTTTTTTGTAGCATTGATACCTGATTTGCAGCTACTTTCATGAGGTAATCCTTCAATAGTTTGAGATCAGTAGCTAACGGTACCAAAGTGACCTTATTCCATTTTTTTAGGTTGAGGTCATTAGCAGCATTGGTTGAAATATCGAATCGCCAATTTGCCTCTATGAGTTGGATGCATGTTTTTATATCTGCCTCAACGTTTGCATTATCTACTGTTGGCAGTGACTTAGATTTTTTTAGAACGTGTAAAAGAGCCACATCGCAACATTGTTTTAAGGTTGTACCCATGTTCATAGCATATGTGGGGGATTTATAAGTTTGGCTTTCGTCATCATATCCTGATGTTAATTTAGTTGCTTTCACAAGTATGTCATATTTGTGTGGTTTTAGAGCATCAAATAGGGTAACCACAGACAAATCTAATTTTTTTATCTCCATTAGAAGTCGAGCCAATTCTCTCATTTTCCTAGAAACGACTTGGACAAAATGTAGCTCCCTATGGAGTTTCAGATATCGGGAAGCAAACGCACATATTAATTTATCATTTTTCGCAACCAATGAAACTTTGTCAGGTCTCATGCGAGGAAATACTTTTACTTTGAGCTCAATATCTACCTTTATATTACCCAATAACAGAGTTTGTCCTAAAGCCTGTGATCGTTTGCCCGACGATCCCTTCTCCGGGTTTGCATCACATTGTTTGCGATGACGCCATAAGTTCTTTGCAGAATAGTAACCCATACAGTGGATGCATGGAAGATATTCCGTTTTTTCCGCACCTTTTCTAACAGGTTTTATCCCCTCTCCCCTCAAAGGCGTAGAGTTGATAAATTTACCCTTTTTCCTTAGAGCAAAAAGCAGTTGTTGCCTTTTACGGCTTAAAACAGGTAAAGCTAGAAATTCTTGTACCTCAATTTCATTCGTATGGTTTCTTTTCAAATGACGTGGAAAATGAAAAACCTCACATTCACAAAAACAACAGAAAACTGTAACTTTTTTCTTCTTTCCTGACAGTCCAGTATTCACTGATGAAGAACCAGACTGACTGGGTGCAGACTGATCACATTCTGCGGTGGGAATTGATTCAGCTTTTGCATGTATAGTAACATTCTTCTTGACACTTGCCGAATGTAAGTTGTCTCTGGCCTCATCGCTCCTGTCCAGTTCCTCGTCCTTTCAAAAGAAAAATAAATATAAATACAATAAATGCATAAGCATCGCGACAGGTGGACAGTACTTATACTTATCATTGGAGGCGTATCAAATGAAATGTTCAGTGAATAGTGTTAGTATTGACGTTCAATTTTGTATGTTGTTTCATTGATCAATTCATAAAATATCATGCCGTCTATGCTAAGGAATGACCATTGTTTTTCAACCACATTTCCCTCTTTCGTCTCTGGCCTTCTCTCACTTGCCAAGCAATAAGCGGAGAACCTTATCCTGAGCAAAGTTGTTCCAGTAAAAATAGATTTTATTATACCTATTTGGAAAAATGGCATCAAGCAGGCTGACTCTATACTTCCTACGCCTTCAAGATGGCTCTTAGTGCAATTTCCAATATAGTGCAATTGAATCTATTAATCTGCTGTCAAAAATAGTGGTTACAATTTGAATTCAAAGTTTTTACTTATAGATGATATCTAAGGTTTAGGTGATATTTAAGGGCATCAAAATCACTCCTTTATACTGAACTTCAAATTCAGATTGTAACCGTCATTTTTGAAAGCAAATTTATAGACTCGATTGCACTATATTGAAAATTGCACTAAAAGCTGTCTCTAAGGGGTAGGACGTATAGAGTCAACCTACTTGACACCATTTTTTCAAATAGGTATAATAAAATCTATTTTTACAGTAAAAACTTCGCTCAGAGATAAGCTTTGTCGCTTGTTGTTTGGCAAGTGAGAGAAGGCCAGAGACGAAAGAGTTTTTAATCCCTCCAAAAATGTTTTTGAAAATGATCGGGATTCTCTGAAACGTCAAATACGAAGTTTTTTGAACGTTTTTTTGAATATCTACATTTACCTGTTTTGATCCGTAAAAGGCAACAACTGCTTTTTGCTCTAAGGAAAAATCATAATTTTATCGCCTTCGGAGGTCGAGGGGGTAAAACCTGTTAGAAAAGGTGTGGAAAAACGGAATCATGCATCCACTATATGGGTTACTATTTTGCCAAGAACTTATGGCGTCATCGCAAACAATGTGATGCAAACCCGGAGAAGGGATCGTCGGGCAAACGATCACAGACTTTAGGACAAACTTTGTTATTGAATAATATAAAGGTAGATAATGAGCTCAAAGCAAAAGCATTTCATCGCATGAGACCTGACAAAGTTTCAAGTTGCAAAAGATGATAATATGTGCGCATGCTTGCTGATATCTGAAACTTCACAGGGAACTACAATTTGTCCAAGTCGTTTCTAGGAAAATGGGAGAAGTGGCTTGACTTCTAATGGAATTAGATTTGTCTGTGATTACCCTATTGATTGCTATAAAAACACATAGATATGACATACTTGTGAAAGCAACTAAGTTAACATCAGGATATGATGATGAAAGCCAAGCTTATAGATCCCCGACATATGCTATGAACATGGGTACAACCTTGAAAAAATGTTGCGGTGTGGCTCTTTTACACGTTTTGAAAAAAATCTGAGTCACTGCCAACAGTAGATAATGCAAACATTGGTTCCATTAGCTAGTGATCTTAAACTATTGAAGGATTATCTTATGAAAGTAGCTGCAAATCAGGTGTCAGTGCTACAAAAAGTTCAGGTAATGAAAAAGCATGCACGTCTTGACTGGAGACAGTTTAATGTAGGATGCTTTCATTAAAGAGGAGGCGGCCTGGAAAACTACAACGACTTCCCATAAATGTTTACAAATCCGCTATATCTGACGAACACAATCAAGCCTATAAGGAGTTTTCGGAAGCAATAACGGAAACCGAGAGAATTCTAATGAGATCTAACAAACGAATGGAAATTCGTGGAAAAAGAGGCAGAGGTGTTCCAGTTCTTATAAGCAAGGATGTACATGAGCACTTGAATCTAAAACTAGAGTGTAAAGATAATATTCAGACGGTGTCGAACATAAATCTTTTCGGTAAACCCAATTCATAAGAACCTATCATCGGTTACAAATCCGCATGCCCTGACTAGCACCCGTCTGAGAAAGGTCATAGCAACTTTGACCCAATTGTTAAACATGTCAGAAAATGACGTGGAACAACTCGCATCTTTTATGGGACATACACTAGGTATCCACCGTGCATGATACCGATTACCAGATGATGTCTACCAAACGGCTAGACTCTCCAAGATTTTGACGTTGATAGACAAGGGCGAGGCAGGTCATTTCAAAGAAAAATCCCTAGAAAAAATTGAATTGAATCTGGACGAGAATTTGATATCAGAAGCGCAGCAGGATAATGACCACCCAGAGCCTCTATATCAATATGAAGAAATCCAAGAACCGCATCCAGATTCGGAATCTCAACAAGTGGATGAAACGTTACCGAAGAAAAAGACCGGTTCTTGTTCCTTGGACTGAAGATCAGAAAACTGACAAGGAAGTATTCTAAAGTATTTTCATGTTATATGACATGTAGATCACTCATTTCCGTCAGTCTGTCCGCCGCTCTGCTGCTGTGTCGAGTCCTTGATTACTTGAGGGGGAAGGTTACCACTAGACCAGGGACAGAAAAGCTACCTATATAGTTTTTAAGAGCGTTCCAGTGCCGGCGGAGAAAAAGTTAAAAACAAAAAAAGAAATCTCATAAACTTCGTTTTTTATTGTTTCAGATACTGATCATTTTTGAGAAAAAAATTTGTGGTGGAAAATTAGCGAGTTGGAGGTTGTAGAGGGTGGGACGGGTATATCTCTTTTTTATTTAGTTTAATGATACACTTCCATCCCTAGTAATTCTTCGCAATCTATTTGACACATTCTAAACATCATAGATTCCCCTCACATAGCAACGTTTTGATGGAAAAGATGTTATAGTTATTAATTGGAAAGTCGAAAAATCAAAAAATTTGAAAGTTGAAAAATATTAAAATTGTAAAATTACAAAATTAAAATATCGGATTGGCTACACAACTCCACCCAATCCAAATTTTTCAATGGGTACTTGAGTAGAATAATAGTAATATATTTACCTCAGCCTCTTCACTAGTGTGGGGACTATAATCTTCATCTTCTGCATCAGAAATTACAGAAGATGATGGTGGTGTGCAGCATATATTAGGCGAAGTAAGAGATATGAACTGAAATGAATGACATATATCAGACATGTTTCATAAAGAATACATAATATTGCTTTACCGAGCTAGATTCACTTTGGTGGTCTGGATCTTCCACTATGCTCTCGTTATTCGAGGTAACGTTGTACTGAAAAAGGTTCAATAGAATAAAAAAGTTCACAGACTAGGCAGTGAATGATTATTACCTCAGAGTCCTTGCACAAGTTACTGCAATGAACATTTTCTGATAAACCGGATATTGATGATGATGGGGGTGTACAGCATATCTTGGGGGATGTAGAAGATATTACCTAGAATAAATCATAAATATGGGAACTCTACCAAAAAAAACATACTTATGTTTTACCGAGTTGCAGTCACTGTGGTCGCTGTTTTGTTTAACCACAGATGACACCTTACGTGAATCAGTAATCACTGTTTCAGAAGTCTTATCTTTTTCTTCATCTCTTGGATGCTGTGTGATAGGTGATAGACCTCTGTTACAAAACCAATTTTTGCTCATATTGAAAGGCTTTCCCTGGAAAAGTTCAAATATATTGTTTTGTAATTATTCCGTTTCAACTTAGAGAAATAATACCATTCCAAAAAATAATAGATATACAATATCGACTATCTTCAGGAAGAATACAACATGCTTGTTTTTAGTGAAAAGATATTTGATAAGAGTGCTCTCAAAAATGTCAAAAAGCCAATTATATTAGAGTAATTTTTGTCATTAGCTTTTTTCCCAATGAACTGACATCCACAAGCCATTTTTTTCCGTGCAGCAATAGTATATGTTGATTGTCAAAGTAAAATACTTTATTTTTAATTGATTCTAGTAGCAATACCAGTGAATGATGTTCGAAATTTTACCAAACTCAATAATACGTAATGTGTTATCATTAAACACTATATCCATGCATTAACACTAGAAATTTTTGAGTGTACAGATACAGGAAATAGGTATGATTTCCTGTTTTCTACGCAAATGTTTGATAAAGTCAGATATGTCAAATAGATCCGATAGAAAACCTTAGGAAATTACGATTCACTCCCTCATCAACTCCTAACCCTCAAAATTTATTTGGATAATGATCAAGAGCCCCTGAATCGTCAAAAAACAAAGTTTGAGCGATTTCTATTTTTTCGTTTGTGGCCCTTTTCTCTGACGCCACTGGACCTATTTTTAAAAGCTAAAGCTTTCTTGTCCATAGCCTCGTAGCAACCTTGTGTCTAAATTTCATCAAAGTCCCAATGGTACTTTCCACGTTATAGCAGAAATGAGTATCATGGTTTTCCGTGATCTACATGTCATATAGCATCCAACAAAACATAATACCTCACTTTCAAAATATCTTGCGATTACAATACTTCCTCGACCGTTGACGTGGGAAGTAAAACATGATATCTCTGATTTGCAATTTTAGATTTAGAATTTTATCACCCCGCTACTGTACCATATAGGAAATAATCAACACAATCTCCCGTTTAAAATTATCATTGTCTACATATAAAGTCGAGCTACTTGACACCGTGAGTCAAAAGCACAGTCTGTAGTGATTTTGTATTATAATGCAAAAAACGGAATCAGTACATATACAGGTATGTACCCTAAAAAAGATGTAAAGCAGCAGCTAGAAAAAAGCCAAAATGAGCTTTGATTGAAGTATTCTATTTTTAAATTTTCAGTGATGTATGGTCACACTCAATCTACTTGACCCTGTTCTTTAACTTGAAAAAAAAAACATTGTAGCTTTACATTCAAGAATCACCTATACAAAACTAAACCAACAAGATTAGATAAAGTTTGGCGTAAAATTTATGGGGGTTGACCTTTTGAACAGCATTGTTTTATCCTTCACGCTACTCAATATTCATTGCTTTTCCATTAAATGTAAGTAATACAGTCATATTACCATCATATCCTATTAACGATTGCATAAGAGTTCAAAAAGTCATACTTACCTCAACAGTCCTTTCAGACACACTCTTGAATACACAACAGATTTGAACGTCCTTCCAGCACGATTGGTGCCAATAAAATGAATTCTCAGATCTTAGACAAACCGACAAACCCTATCCCCGGGCGCACGCGCTTTATTGACTGGAATTAAAATGATCGGGAGACCGATCTGACGTCAGACGTACGCCATTCAGCTAGTTCGGGTATTGTGGAGGACTCAGCACTGGTTTGCGTATTGAAGAGTATTCTTCATGGGAGATTGATCCACCAGTGTTTAGTTAATTCGAGTATTTTGGGAGACTCAGTGCTGGTTTCTTGTGAATCGTATGGTAGAAGAGTATTCTGCATGGAAGACCGATCTAGCAGTGTTTAGTAAATTCAAGTATTTTGGGAGACTCAGTGCTGGTTTCTTGTGAATCGTAGGGTAGAAGTGTATTTATTCTGCACGGAAGACCGATCTAGCAGGGTTTAGTAAATTCAAGTATTTTGGGAGACTCAGTGCTGTTTTTTTGTGAATCCGAAGGTATTTTGATGGACGATTGTATCATATGGCTTTTGGTTGGCGTGACTATATGGTTAAGTCTGAGCTATTAGAGAAAATCGTTGATATACGATTTTATTTCAAGATTAGGAATATTCTCATAGATAGATGGTACCAAACATGAATGGTGATTTCCTTATCCAAAGATAACGTCACATGATTGTAAGGCTCAGTATAGTGATTAGGTAATTCAAGTATTTTAGGATACTCAATGCTGTTTTTTGCGAACCGGAGGGCAGGGAAGTATTTCAACTGCTAATATCACAGATTTGGAAATTACGCGTCTAAAGCTTATCATCATTAGGATGTCGTCGATACGACATAGGCTATTGGAAAAGCAAAGTGCTCGATCTGAAAGTTCATACAACCTCCTGGACATGTAATAGAAAAAAGTATTCTTGATTGTGTGGGCTGCTCGATGATCTGATAATTTTTGCATAGGTAAGTTATAATTTACGAAACGTTGGGCATCCTTCTGTCGTATGCTAGCAACGTTTTGTATAGTCTTAATCGAGCAAATAGTGTACTCAAAGTTGCTGGAAAGAATTTTGGTTATATCCATTGGAGATCCTTGAAAAATAATATAATAATACAAGTCCAAGTTAGGAGACTTCAGTAGTATTATGTAAAGAGAAATAAATGAAACTTGGCACCACTGCACGGATGACTTATCTACTGGTGTTTAGTTAATTTGAGTATTCTGGGGGACCGAATGCCGTTTTGTGATCTGAAGGGTATTCCGGTAGAGGACACATCTTACGGTTTTTAAAAGGTAGACCTATATAGCGGACTTTATATGAAAATCCGAAATGTTAATGTACAGTTTTTTGAGCTGATCCTGGATCAGTTTGCCTTTTTGTTGGATATACACGAATCAAATTTGATATATATTCGATATTTCTGGTAGGTGACTTATTGCTGGGAATTGAAAGGATTACCGATCCACATGGAGATGTAAATATATATATATGTATGTATATATATATATATATATATATATATATATATATATATATAATATTCATAGTTAATTTCCTTAACTGTTAGGAGAAGATATCCTTTAATTTCTTTGGGTAGAAGGCAAAGTATTGCAAAAGTAAACTCTTATAACTTAAACTCTCAAGCTTTCGAAGATCTATGTCTTCATCGTCTGGAGTAAGTCGGCGAGATTGTTTTTAAAACAATAGTGAAGAGAACACATAGTCGACGAATAAAAACTGGACTGATGAGGTTCGATTAGGACGGAATTATTTTATTATTAAATGGCAAATCATTTTGAAAAGTTTTTTAAAGCTAAGCGATGATTGATTTTAGAAAAAATTTGGAGATTTTAAAACTATCAACTATTGAAAATTCCTTCGAGATTTCATCTTTTTTTCCACTGAACACCTCCACATTATCTAACACGTCAGTCGGTCAGTCGGCCGGCACGTGTTGGATAATGTGGATGTTATCAGTGGAAAAAAAAGATGAAATCTCGAGGGAATTTTCAATAGTTGATAGTTTTAAAATCTCCAAATTTTTTCTAAAATCAATCAACGCTTAGTTTTTAAAAAAACCTTTCAAAATGATTTACCATTTAATAACATTATTATTCCATCCTAATCGGACCTCAGCAGTCCAGTTTTTTATTCGTCGTTCCCTTCACTGTTGTTTTAAAAACAATTTCAGCAACAATCTCGCCGACTTACTCCAGACGATGAAGACATAGATCTTCGAAAGCTTGAGAGTTTAAGTTATAAGAGTGTACTTTTGCAACACTTTGCCTTCTACCCAAAGTTAAATTAAAGAATAACTTCTCCTAACAGTTAAGGCAATTAACTATGAATACTATATATACAGGGTGACTTCGAAGTTGAGTCATTTATTTTAACAGTGAGTAGATCTGATCAAAAGAAATGTTTTTTCCTTGAACATTTTTGTGGTAAAATTAAAGTAACAAAGTTATAGCCCTTTAGAAGTTTGAGTACCGCCCTGTCTCAATAATAATGTGGTCGTGTTTGGCAACAACGGATATAATCTGCCTTATCGATTCATCGCATCGGAAACAAAAAAGCGAAAGAATTTGAAACGCTTATCACGATGTTTTTACTACAATTTTATTCAGTTGTATTTAGTCAATGTGTCAGTCGGTAACGCGTGAGTGAATAGTGGTGTTTGTTGCGTGGCTCAAACGAAATAAAAAATGGCACATGTTTACGAAAATGCTGAACTTGTGGACATGATTCTTATTTACGAGGGGGGGGAGTCTTTACAAAATGCTGCCGCGGCATCACGGATTTAATGCGGATCGGTTTCCCAATCGAGTGCAACCAACCCCTCGTGCCTTTGTTAATGTAGTACAAAGGGCTCGTGAATCAGGTGACTTAAGACCGCACGATCAAATACAGGTCCGCACTGAAATACTTGTCGGGAGGATACTTTATAAAACAAGGTAACAAATTTTTTTTAATTTTTTTTTATTTTTACACACATATTTTGGTTTATCTTCCTTCTACAATCATTATCTGAAAATTAATGACTCAACTTCAAAGTCACCCTGTATATATATATATATATATATATATATATATATATAATACTTCTTTTGAGTGGAAAAAACCAAAAACGACTTCATTACATGGCGAAAAAATAATTAAATAAGATCAGATCAGCTTTGATCGTTGACAAGGAATGTTGTTCTGGTATTATGAGCATATCTTTGATTTAATTCTGGCTTAACTGTGTACTTATTTGGGCGCTCCGCTCCAGTGTTTAAGTAGAATATTAACTAGATTTCGCCACTGGTACTGTATTATATTGTCATATTTTCTTTGTTAATGAAAATCAATAAAGACGGTTTATTATTATTATATTCTTGTATTTCCATGACAGTTTACTAATATTTTTTCTCTGTCAAAAGCCATATTTTTTTATTAGCCTCATGTTTATAAAACACTATATAGATAATATACAGCGTGATTTATACTGAATGCGCCCGAAATCTGTACGTTCCTAGTATGGAATAATCTCTCAAACTGTTTAAATATCCCTCTCAGAACAATTTTCTAATTCTGACCTGTGCGTATTTCCTCTCCCTCGCCGTGCCCGTGTTACACAATATCTTCAGCTCCGTC